CCCGACCCTCCCTCCCCCCACCCACACCCCTCCCTCCCTCTCACCCCTCCACCCCTCCCACCCCCTCCCTCCCTCCCTCTCACCCCTCCCACCCCGTACCTTTCTTCCTGGCGGCCGATACCATCTGTTGGTACTCCTGCCTGTGCTTCAACTGCTCGTAGGCCGTCTTGGCGGGCAGGTTGGTAGGCCTGTTTTCCATGATGAGGCCCGCGCTGCCCGCCTCCAGTTCGCAATTCCGAGCCTGCGGGACGAAAAAAAATTTAGTTTAAGAGGAAGGAGGGGACGAACATTTTCGGTTTTGGACGAAAATTTTTAGTTCAGAGGGAGGACAATTTTTCTTTCTTTCTTTCTTTCTTTTTATCTTTTTTGTTTAGTTTAGGGGAGTAGGGGGGGGGGGGCGAAACATTTTAGTTTTAGAGGAGGAAGGAGGACGAAATTTTTAGTTTAGAGGAAGGAAGGGCGAGGTTAGGATAAACTTTATACATTTATGACCGACATCCCGCTGTAGTCAAGTCAAGTCTTTTGCGTGAATAATATTCCTCAATCATGTGAGTGAGATTAAAAACAAAGGGAAATTTGGAATGTTTACATGACCTGTTTAACTGCGATATTTTTTTTTTTTTCTTTTCTTTTCTTTTTTTTGTAAGATACGGCAGAAATGAAAGCTGTATTCACCCACACAAGCTTTCATCTCTCTTTTTCTCTCTTTCTCTCTCTTCTTTCTCTTTCTTCTCTTTCTCTTCTCTCTCTTTCTCTTTCTCTTTCTCTTTCTCACTCACTCACTCACTCACTCACTCTCTTCTTTCTCTCTTTCTCTCTTTCTCTCTTTCTCTCTCACTCACACTCACTCACTCACTCACTCACTCACTCACTCACTCACACTCACTCACTCACTCTCTTTCTCTCTTTCTCACTCACTCACTCACTCACTCACTCTCTTTCTCTCTTTCTCACTCACTCACTCACTCACTCACTCACTCTCTTTTCTCTCTTTCTCACTCACTCACTCACTCACTCACTTTTTTCTTTCTCTCTCTTTCTCTCACTCTCACCCATACACAAAAACACTCATACAATCACACCTCTCTCTCCCTCCCTCCCCCCCCCCCCATCCCCACCCACAACACACCTGGAGGTCGGGCGAGCGGGGCGGCCTGAGGGGCGGCCGCGAGAAGATCCTCCAGGCGCCGCCGCCCCGGAGAGGACGCGGACGACGTGGACGACGCGGGCGACGACGAAGGCACGGGCGACGACGACGCCGACGACGAACGGCCCCCCCCCGCCCCCGCCCGCTGCCGCCGCCGTCGCTGCCGCTGCCGCCGTCTTTGCTGTGGCGCCACGAGAACAGGTTCCTGCAATGCGAAGAGGGGGGGGGTTAGACGGTTTAAACGGAGGGAATCGGGTAGTTCGTTAAGTAAGCCTATCTATATAACGAAGGGGGGAAATACACTATATATAGATAGATAGATAGATAGATAAATAGATAGATAGATAGATAGATATAGATAGATAGATAGATAATTTTTTAAGGAATTACAAATAAAAAGACAGATAGATAGATAGATTGATAGATTAAGAAAAGGTTAAGTGAGCTATCTATATAACGAAAAGAGGAAAATACACTATATATATATTTCTTTTTTAAGAAATTGCGAATAGAAAGAGATAGATCGATAGATTGATAAATTAAGAAAGATTAAGTAAAGCTATCTACATAACGAAGGAAAAAAATACACGATATACATTAACGTTCTTTCTTCCAGAAAATACAAATAGAAAGACAGAAATAAATAGATAAATACATAGATAGACGCAAAAAGATTAAATAAGCTATCTATGTGACAAAGGATTTTAAAAAATACACGATATATATATATATATATATATATATATATATATATATATATATATATATATATATATATCAACTTTTCAGGAAACATAAATAGAAAGATAGAAAGATAGACAGATAGACAGATTGATAGACGAACATAGAAAAATTAAATAAGCTATCTAAATAACGAAGAAATAAAACACGATATAGGCCTATATCAATTTTTTTTTCACAAATACAAATAGAAAGACAGAGATAGACAGACAGACAGACAGAGACAGACAGACAGACAGATAGACAGAGACAGACAGACAGACAGACAGAGATAGACAGACAGACAGACAGATAAACTGATAGACAGACAGAGACAGACAGATAGACCGACTGATAGACAGACCACAAGAAAGATTCTATAAACACCCACACATCCACAAAATATAAATCGACAAAGCTATAAAAAGAAAATACAGGATTTATTAGATTAAAAAAAAGTTCTTAGAATCAGACGAGTGATAGCGTGGTAATGCCACCACCACGGCATAAAAAATAAACGATATCTATTAACTTTCCTTCAGAAAACACAAATGGAAAGACAGAGATAGACAGATAAATAGGCAGATAGATAGACAGACAGATAGATAGATAGATAGACAGAGAGACAGACAGATAGATAGATAGACAGACAGAGAGATAGGCAGATAGATAGACAGACAGAGAGACAGATAGATAGATAGGCAGACAGAGAGATAGACAGATAGATAGACAGATAGATAGACAGACAGATAGATAGACAGACAGAGAGATAGGCAGATAGATAGACAGACACAGAGATAGACAGATAGATAGACAGACAGAGAGATGGCCAGATAGATAGACAGACAGAGAGATAGACAGATAGATAGACAGACAGATAGATAGACAGACAGAGAGATAGACAGATAAATAGACAGACAGACAGAGAAACAGATACATAGATAGATAGATAGATAGACAGACAGAGAGACAGATAGATAGATAGACAGACAGAGAGACAGATAGATGGATAGACAGACGCTAGAATGATTAAAAATAATTACATCAATAAAACCGAACCAAAGAACACGAAGCTAAGAAAGTGAAAATCTAAGAAATGGAAACAATCTTGAGTTTCCAGGAACACAAGTAAATAACAAGACAGATAATTCCCTTGGAATCAAAAAATCAAATAACAATAACGAATCTAATAAATAAACAAACCAATAAATACCCTTTGCAATCTTAAAAAAAAACAATAATAAACACACAAAGAAACAAACAAATATACCAGATAAATAAATAAACAAACCAATAAATACTCTTGCAAACAAACAAAAAAACGTAAACACACCAAAAAAAATAAAATAAAAATTAAAAATATAATAAATAATAATAACAATAACAATAATAATAACAATAACAATAACAATAACAATAACAATAACAATAACAATAACAAAATAATAATAATAATAATAATAATAATAATAATAATAATAATATAATAATAATAATAATAATATAATAATAATAATATAATAATAATAACAAATAATAAATAATAAAAAAAAATTAAGTCCCCCTNCAAGGGATTTTTTTCGATAAAGTAGTAATATCATTCAGATACGATATAGAAAAAAACAAGATAATTAGAGAGAGAGAGACAGATAGAGAAATAGACAAGCGGATAGATAGATAGATAGATTGACTGATTGACTAATAAATGGATAGATAGAATGATAGATATAAGATAGAAGAACGTATAGATTACATAGGAGATGGATATTATAAGATAAATGAGTAGATTGATAGGTAGAGAGATATTAATAATAAGAATAACAATAATAATAAAAATAATGACAATGGCAATAACGGTAATAATAATTATTATTATTATAATCATTATAATAACAATAAATAACAATAACAATAACAACAGTGATAAAAAATAATGAGATAATATTAAAAATGATAATATTGATAATAATAATAAAAAACAATTCAAATAATATTGTAATAATAATAATAATAACAATAACAATAACAAATAACAATAACAATAACAATAACAATAACAACAACAACAACAACAACAACAACAACAACAACAACAACAATAACAATAACAATAACAATAACAATAACAATAACAATAACAATAACAATAACAATAAAATTAACAAAACATAACAATTAAACAATAACAATAACAATAACAATAAACAATAACAATAAACAATAACAATAACATAACAATAATAATAATAAATAATAATAATAATAAATAATAATAATAAAATAATAATAATAATAATCAATAATAATAATAATAATGGTAATAATGATAATTATAATACAGAAGAAGTAATGATAATAATAATGACATTAATGATGATAATGATAATGCTAAAACTAATAAACATTGAAATGATCATAAAAAACAGATATAAAAAAAAAAAAACAATACTCATGAGAATGATATTGATAGATGAACAACAAAATAATAACAATAATAAGTAAAAATGATAGTAAATAACAATGAATGATAATAATAAATAATGGTTATTATCATTATTAATTAAATGATGATAATAAAAATTATGATAATAAAACATACAATAATCATAAGAAAAAAATAAATAATCACAATAGTAATGAAGTTTTATTACCATTACAATGAATTATATAATAGCCAACTCAATCTTTGTTGATACGCACAGCCGTATATAAACATAAATCATACATATATAAATTCGAAAGAAGAGAATGTTTGAGAAACGCCGTGCAATTTAACGTGGCCGCGAGCGAAGCACATCTATTTAACCCTGTTTAGCATTTGGCTGTTCCGAGTGAGCTGGAATGCACATAAATGCACTTCAGACCGATAAGGGGAAATTGTGGCTGTTACAGAGCTTTCCTCGCTAATTTTACTCTCTGTAATTTTAGATAGATATGTAGAATAGAAACATAGGTGGATATAGAGATAGATAAGAGATAGGTAGATAGGTAGAGTAAGATAGATAGTAATAGTAGATAGATAGATAGATAGATATGTGGAATAGATATGTAGATAGGTAAAGTAGATTAGAAGATAGGTAATAAGTAGGTAGATAGACAGATATGTAGGTAGGTAGGTGGATAGATAGACAAATAGACAGAACAGACAGATAGATAAATACATAGATCTATATATTTTGTTACAGGGGAATGGTATATTAATTTAGATAATTGTCATTTACAAATACCCTAGGTAAATGTCTTACTTTTTCCCCAAATCTTTCATGCCCAACAAAATTCATAACACAACACACACACATACACGCCACCCACACACACAGCACACACACACACACCAGCATACACACAACCACACACACACACACACACACACACACACACACACACACAACATACACAGCACATAATATAGTATATAATATATATAATATAATATAAATATTATTAATATAAATATATATATAATATATATATAAACACACACACACACACACACACACACACACACACACACACACCACAACACACATATATATATATATATATATATATATATATATATATAATAAAATATATATATATATATGGTGTGTGTGTGTGCTGTGTGTTGTGTGTGTGTGGTGTGTGTGTGTGTGTGTGTGTGTGGTGTGTGTGGGGTGTGTGGTAGTGTGGTATATATGTAATAAACGCAGAAAACAATGTATGCTGACGAAGATGTCGAAAAACCGTTCCAAATAATGTAGTGAAGATCATCCCAGTCACACCTTCACATTGTCAACAAAAATATGGTCGCATGCATGTCAGTTAACTATCTGTTCTGTGTGTGTGCTGTAAAGTTATATATGCATACACCAAATATAATAGATATATAGATCACTAGATAGACAAACGGATAGATAGGTATGTAAAATGGACAGATAGCTTGAATAGGGACAGACGTAGAAAGAGAGAAAGAATATAGGTGTGATAGTAGACAGCAACAGTTGTAGAAAATAGAGAGAGAAGAGAGAGAGGAGAGAGAGAGAGAGAGGAGAGAGAGAGAGAGAGAGAGAGAGGAGAGAGAGAAAGAGAGGAGAGAGAGAGAAGAAGAGACCAGAAGAGAAGGAAGAGAGAGAGAGAGAGAGAGAGAGAGTGAGAGAGAGAGAGAGAGAGAGAGAGAGAGAGAGAGAGAGAGAGAGAGAGAGAAGAGACCAGAAAAGAGAAAGAGAGAGAGAGAGAGGAGAGAGAGAGAGAGAGAGAGAGAGGAGAGAGAGAGAGAGAGAGAGAGAGAGAGAGAGAGAGCGAGCGAGAGGCGAAGAGAGCGAGAGAGAGAGAGAGAAACAGACAGACAGAAAAACCAGAAAAATAATATAGCATATGCGTTCAGGATGTAGGAATTTAATGAGATTCTCCGCATTCTTCAAATCTCATTGGTCGTGGTGTGTTTTAAAACAAGAATCCTGATCCTACGCCCGTGTCATGCAGCTTTAATTACACTGCGAAATA